ACTAAAATACCTTGTTTTTAAAACATAAATTAAATGTATTTTATCTTTTCATATATTGTTTTATTGAAATTACGTAATTTTAGAGTGATTTTTTGTTATTAATTTTTGAGAGGTCAAATGTATAAATACTAATACTATATACATATATATTAAAAAGCAAAAATATTTTGTTAACAGAAAGATATGCACATTAATAAATGAGTTTTCCTATAAAAAAAAAAAACATATTTCCAAGGCATCATTTGAAAATTGGTATTTTATTTTTTATTTTATTTAAAAAAATTTAAATAGAGAAAAAAAAGAGTAAAAACTATACTGATAATATTTTAATGGACTGGCCAATATGTTGAAATATCAGTGGTATACTAAAATTTAACTGAAATACTTGATATTTGACCAAAACAAAATCCAGCCTTTTATGGTTTTTGTCCCCCTTCCCTACCCTAGCAACGGTGTTGTGTCATCCTGGAACTTAATGTGTTCGGCATGGAAAAGAACTCTTCCAAGTTTCACTTCCGGAAAATACCGTGAAAATACCTCCTAGCTAGTATCTATAGAATGGAGAGGAAGAAGAACAGGGTTGAAGCTTTGAGAGAGTGAAAAGAGAAGGGATTCAGTGTTGTAGCTGTTGCTATGTTGCAATTTTTTTTCTTTTAAATTTCAGATGTTTGGTTTTGAATATTACCAGCCCAAATTTGTTATATCAGTCGATATGTCAAAATTCAGCCGATAAATTGAATTTCGATCGGCACAATTGATATTTTCATTGATACGAAGTTATAGCGTTTCAGTTTTAGGTTAGAATTGAAATGTGCTAAGCATAACTGACAACTTTGCAATATTCTCTAATAATTATATTAAATTTATAAATTTATATAATATTATAATTATAAATTTATAAATTTATATAATTTTATAATTATAGTATTCATTTTCATAATCTTTCAATGAAAAAACTAGCAGCAACAATGAGTACCACCAGGTATCTCGTTACAATGTTGTAGTTGCAACGACCAAATTTGCCTGTTAAAACGTGTTTGTTGGCTGATCTTGCTCGAAAATTTGAGGTTTTGTTGCCAACATTATGTTTTATTTTTTAAATATTAAAAATAGATTTAATTAACAAAATATAATTATTTTTACCTTTTATTTAAAATAAAAATTTCTGCTATTGGAGGTGTTTAGTTTTATTATTATTATTATTATTATTATTATTATTATTATTATTAAATAAGAGTTTTATTTACGTATAAATTTTACACATCATATTTATAAAAAAAATTTAATTATTTATTTCTCCACTTTTAATTATTGAGATGTATCTTAACTTTTTAAATAAAAATAATAATTATTTTTATCAAATGTGAATAAATCTTAATGATTGAAAGTAGAGTAATGAATAGTTGAGATTTTATATTTAAATGTTATATGTAAGATTTGCATGTGAATAGATTCCTATTATTATTATTATTATTATTATTATTATTATTATTATTATTATTATTATAAAAGAGAAATTACATTATTTTAAAATATGTTCTTATAATCATTTAATGTAAAATATTAATAGTTAATTATGATATAACTAAATTGTTATTAAAGTTAACATTTTCTAACCTGTTACTAGTTACCATTATTTGTTATATCTTATCCATTATTCATTAATTGTCGAATTTTAACAATTAAACCAAACAAGTCATAAAAGAGTAAATGCATATAATATTATGTACTCTGCCTAAATTAAAAGATAAATTTACTAAGAACTACATCATGTCACGTTGTAGGATTTATTACCAAAAAAATTTGTTAATAAATCATTTTTTAAAGTGCAATCAACTATTTTTTTAAAATTTATGTTGTACACATTTTCTTGGAAATAAATAAATATACAATTATGTAAAACTAAAAGGATATACACTTTTGATAATAATCTAATTAATTTAATGGTAATATCTTTTTAGTAAAAGTAATAGATTTTAAGTTTTAATCTTATAGTATACAAGTGTGGTAAATTAAGAGATAAAAAAAATTATATCTTATTGTATAATTCAACATTAAAAAAAATGAACAATTTTAGGTGAATAGATGCCCTTAATTAGTTTTCATGCTGTGTGTAATGCGTTTTTAGGCCATCATTCTGTTTCTACTTGTGTTGGATTTGTCACGCCCAAAAACCCAAATTTGAGACAAGACAAGACAGACATCTTACACTCATAACAGAGTCCCACAAATGCAGAAAGCTCGAAATTCATCATACCACAATCTGATACTATAAAATCTGAAGATAAATTTTTAAAGTTTGCTCTGATATCATAAAATCTCCAAATAAAGTCTAGTTTACAAGATCATGATTTATATCTAAAATTTATATTCAATTTACAAAATGGCTAGCCTTCTAACTCGTCACTCCCCTCGTTTTTCCCCATCCTTGACTTCGCTTCCTAAAATGGTGGACAAGGAAAAAAAAACTATGAGATAATTCAGTAAGTAAATATGGATAGCCCTTAATTAAATTTATTGCATGCCACCAAATATAATCACGAAAAACAGATACGAATACGAAAATGAAATAGACGTCTCCTTTATAGGTCATGGCCAGTGTTATAAACCTCCCACTAACAGGCACACGATTTACTAGTGTATAATCCCACTAGTAGGATTACAGAAATACCAGTGTTTAATAAATCCTACTGGCAAGAGGAACCGGCTCTACAAAAATACATGTCAACATGTGCTAGCGTTTATAAACCTCCCACTAGCAAACACACGAATAACATGACTGTATCGGAGACAAAACCAGACAAAAGTTAACAGGAAAATCATAATTCACAAATAATTTTCAGATGATCAAGGCAGTTAAGTAAACTCCAAGATTGCATGCTCAAATCAATAAAAAGAATAATAATTTCATTTCAAATCGATCATACTTGTGTAAAACAGATTTAGTCCCCTCACTACTTCAAAAACAAGCTAAAATGTGCTTTAAAATCGGAAGACGTTACCATAATTTACTTATCTCAAATTACACAAAAAACAAAAGACTCAATCCACTGCTAGAGTGACTGAAGGATCACAACCCTAATCAAAATATCCAAAAATTAATACCATACTACCACGGATTCCAAGTGAAATCATTATTAAGACTACCCCTTAATCATGATGCTATTTATATCAATCTCTGCATGACTAGACATCTTAAATTTTAATCTCATATAAAACTAAATATTTAATCCCTTGTTACTGCTGCCGGCCATTAATCCCAAAATGCCATATTTATTTATTCCTTTTTTTTCTTTTTTCATTTTTAAGTTAGAACACTGCAACCAAATTATATATATATATATACATACATATACACAAATACATACACATATATATATATATATACATAGCTCCCTAATCCCACGGACAAGAATGGAGAAGCCGGGCCTTCATTAAATTAATCCTTTTTGGCAAAGCAGTAGCTAATCACGGGATTTTCATATAAAATACTACAACACCAATCAAGAACATTTTCTACATTAAGCGAGCTTAAAAACCCATGTTTTAAGGCTGCCGAAACTCCTCCATTTCAACAGAAAATTTCCAACGGACAAAATGGAGGAATCGAGCTTGGCAAAACAGCACCAAGACCCGACTATGCATACAGAACATCACAGTAGTCCAATCACAGAAAATTCTACATGAATTAAACTCAAAACATGTTTCAAAAGCTGTCGGAATTCATCCCATGAACAACAGAAAATTTTCGGACAACAGGGCAGCAATTCAACAATTTAACTCAGCAGGGCAGCAACTAATTAACCATTTTCGGACTTAAAGATGCCATCAACATACCAGAATTTTTCCAGCAGCCCAAACCGCAGCTGGCGGGTATGGAGGCCGATGGAGACTGGAGAAGAAATCATGAAAACTACCACAAAATTGCAAGAAACAAAAGGGATTAGAGTGACCCAAGCCAAATTAAAGCTAAAGAAATGAACTTGAAGCTGGTTCTTACCGAAAATCTCGAAGGATTCACACCCAGCAGAACAGCGGACAGACAAAGGGGAAGAAACAGAGCAGATCTGAAATTTTTCTGCAGGGGGGAAGATTTCTAAGTCCTAATTTTGCTCTTTAACAAGAAAAGAAAGGGAAAATTTTAAGCTTTTGCTGATTTTTTTCAAAGAAATGGAAGTCGGTGCTTGGGCTTCTTTTTCGGGAGCTGCAGGGGTGAGGAAGAAGAAGAAACCCGCGTGGCTGAGGAAGAAAGAAGGAAAAAAATCAGTTTGATCCTTATCCTAATGTTTTTCTCTTTTAAGTCCCCAAAATTTGGATATTTTAGCTAATAAGCCCCAAAATAATATTTTCTCACATAAAGGTCCTCGACTTAAATGCTAGAATTTCAGAAAATTTGGGGTATTACAGGATTAATTAAAATCATTTTAATCTTAGTATAAATTGTCATTTCTTTAACAAGTACAAATGTAAAAAAGATTTAAAAGTTTTTGTTAAATTTTTTATTATTTTATTTCCACAACTATAAATCAATTGTTCTAGTTTATGTTTGGTTTGTTATTATTATGTTGTGCCGTATCTGAAGGCCTCTTTTTTTATCTTAAAAATATAAATATTAGATAAAAATTTTTTTGGTACATAAATATTAGATAAAATTAGTAGAAGTATATAATAAAAAAGTAAGAATTATAAATTTATATTTTTAGATAAAATGTTATGTAAAAAATATCTATGAAAGTATTATTAAACAAAACATTATGTTGATAAAAAGAATTTGTTTTAGTTTAATTTTTTACAAAAATTTGATTTGTTGCTTTTATATAATAAATAAATGGGATTTTTTAACTTGTGCCCTTAAGGCACCTATAAAGTCTCATTTATTGTAGTATCTGTAATTAATTTTACATAAATTTTTATATAAAATTCAAATAAAATATAATATAAAATATAAAAATAAAATAAAATAAAATATTTTACCTTAAAATCTGTAAAAAAATTATGAATTTGATATGAAAATTTGTATAAAATTAATTAAAGATATCTTAATTAATTAGTTTTAACTTGTATCTTAGACAAACCCTGAATAAATTATATTTAAACATTCCTAATCAAGTGAAACTTTTTAACAAGAAAAATGTATAAGAACAAATATTTTCTTAATTATTACTCATTTCATCTTTAGAATAATAAATATTTTTTTATTTTATTTTCAAATTAAGAATTTAGGAATAATTTTTTATTTTCACCCCTGTTACTCTTAAAAAAATCAAAATAATGAGAATTAAATCACAATGGAATGGATAATTAAAATAAAGAGACCAGTTTAAATTATGAAAAAAATATTTATTTTTTTTAAATATAAAAAAATAACTGTTATACAAATTTTAAATAAAAATTATTATTTTGGTACTGGAGGAGTATTAATTCATTATATAAAAACATAAATTAAACTCATCTACTCTCTTTAGTTTAATTTAATCATCCTACTTTATTCATTCACAATTACCAAAAAATTTATTTATTACAATAATAAATTAAAATTCAAACTCACATCCTCAATGCTATATATGGACCTCAATCTCCCACTGCAACAAAAGGCATAACAAAAATTCACTAGTAACAGTTCCATTATTATTATTATTATTATTATTATTTTTATTATGGGTTATGTCTACCTATCACCTTAATTTGCGTAGAAATTTGTTTTGTACTTGTAGATGAAGCAGTTTGCATGTACTTTAAGGGTGTCGTTATTGCTATTTTTAATATTGTTAATATTACTTAAATCTTAGTTTTTAAAAATATTAACTAATTGTAATTTTTAACTAATAATTATTAGTTGTTATCTAAATTATTAGTTATTAATTAATAATTATAGTTATTAATTATTTTTATCAATATATTAAATTAAATAAAATTAGAATTTTTAAAGATAATATTTTACAGTTTAAGTGGTTATAGCATTATTGTGGGTAGCCATAACCATGCCTCCATTAGGGAGGTAGGGACCAATTAAGCTAAATATTTAAATATTCATGCTATAAATACCAAACAAATTAAATATATGGTAACAAGAAATATGAAAATTAAGGGTTAACAAATTGATAAAACAAAAAAAATAACAAATTGATGATAGCTAAAGGCATTGTGGATTTCAAGTTGACCTAAAAGAAAATAAGTATAAGAATACTTATGAAATTAATTAAAAATCCTTAATAAAATTAACACACAAGATGAATTTATTAAGAATATTTATACAATTTTTTCTTTCAATTGACCTAAAAAATACATTTTTGAGAACAAAATTATATATTATGCATCTAGTGTTATTTAACATGAACATTAATGCCAACACTAAAAAGACTACATTTGGAATTGTTTTCTACTTACACTTTTTCACATAACACACCATTAGCTAACAATATTAGTTTATTATATTTAAATTAATTTTAATTGATATGATTTAATAATTACACAAATTGTAAAACACATTTTTGAAGTAGCTATCAAACACTAAACATAATTTTTGCAATAACATTATATAGAAAACCCATAACAAAAATCTCAAATATATTCATAAGTATTCACTACTTTTATTTTGAATTTCTCTATGGATTTTTACCTTTATCTTCACTCCGCCTTCTATCTTCTATCTACTATCTACTATCTACTATCTTCTATCTTTCTTGTTGTAACTCATTTCCACTTAGTTGCAGTCAAAACTCTACTTTGTTCTATTCAAAGCTCCACTCAACTTACATTTAAAGCTTCATATTTAGTCTTATTCAATAGCCAATATAACCACTATTTTTCATTTAGCCTAGATATATGCTTGAAAGTTTATATGATGTGTGCATGGTGAAAACAAAAAGTTCACTACAAAACCTCTGTTATTTTGTTATATTTTCCTTTTGTTTTATGATAACTTTCTATTAATTGGATTTCAATGGTTAAAGCCAAACAAGATAGGCGAATCAATCCCTAAAAATTAGAATGCCTTGACATTATAAGTATAAAGATCTTCAATCTCAATTGTATAATAGATGAAACCTAGGTAGGACCTATATTATGTTTCACTTATCTTATGAATAAAACTAGATTTCCTAAATTTGTAGTAGGATGTCCTATCTTTTGCATTTTGATCTCTAAAACACAATCATAAATTCTTCTTTTTCTACACCTTTTTTTAGTTTGAGAGAAATAAA